CTCCCCCTCTGGACACATCTGCTCTTTGGAGATGCCCTTAGCATGATAATGTTTCTTTGAATAGAAGAGAATATATGTAGCTCAGGGTTGAACTGTGGAGTCCTTGATAATCTCTGACCTTGGTTGTTTCCTTGTAGACATTTCATTACCCAGCTAGGTAGCATCATAAGTGTGAGTGAGTGTGGGGTTTACTCCCTGTTTATATACAGTAGTTGCCCTGCCAGTTTTGGTGGGGGTGTGGTTTTCTCCTTGGTAGTTCCTTAATATGGGATTGTTTTCTGCTTGATTGTTTGTCTGGTGTTAATCCCTGCTTATCTGGGTGTGGCTACTGGGGAGGATGTGTTCTGGTCTTTTTGTTTCCTTCTTAGTTTTTTTTTATTATCTCTTTTGAATGGTGTGTAAGTATGGTTTATTTCTATGTGTCTATTGATGGCTGATTTGAATGTCAAGCTTCCAGGAATTCCCTAGCATTTTTGGATTTAGCTTGGTCTAGGATGTTCACAGTTTCCCAGTTGAAAATCTGGTTGAGTCTGTCCATGTATCATGAGATGAAGGAGTTTTCATCGTGTCTTCTGACTGCTAGTTGATGTTCATGGATGCGCTCTGCTAGTCTTCTGCCTGTCTGTCCTATGTAGTGGCTGTTACAGTCCTTATACTATATGTTGTAGATCAGGGTTCCTCAGCCTTGGTGACTTGAAGATGTGTAGACTTCAACTCCCAGAATTCCCCAGCCAGCCATGGGAATTCTCAGAGAGCACCAAGGATTCCACAATGTTTCTTTGATTGTATCATCAGTACTTGTTGCCACCTTCTCAGGACAGGGCTTCCTGACATGTTGAAAGAGGTATGGAATGATTTATTAGAATGTAATGGTTGGAAGCAGTCTTGGAGATCACTTGTCCATTCCCTGCACCACAATAGCACTCCTGGCATATGGCCATCCAGCCTCTGTTCGACATCTCCAGGGCAGGAGAGCCCACCACCTCTTAAGGCACACTATTCCATTGTTGAACAGCTCTTACGATTTTTCTTGATATGCAAACAAATCTGTTTCCTTGTGATTTAAATTCACTGTTTTTGTTCTGTCTTCTGGAACTACTCTGAACAATTCTGTCTTATCTTAACCCTTCAAATATTGAAGGCACTATTGTGTCTCTCTTCAGTCTTGTCTCCTCTAGGCTAAATATACTCCAACTGTTCCTCATAAGCTTTTCCTTCTAGGCCCATTATCTTATTGCTCTGGACATGCTCCAATTTATCAGTGTCCTCCTTAAAATGCAGTGACCAGAGCTGGATGAAATACTTTGGAGCAGTCTGATTGGTCTGTAGTTATCTAGATCCTCCTTTTTCCCATTTATGAAAATAGAAACAACATTTGCTCTTCCCCAGTCCTCTGATACTAATACCACTCCTCCATGATTTCTCAAAGATTACAGAAAGGGTGTCTAAGATGACCTCTGCAAGTTGTGTCAGATATAATTGGTCTGGTACTGGAGATATAAACTTGTTCATGGTAACTAGGTACTCCCTGACTATCTCTTCAGTTATCTTGAGTTCCCAATTCTGTCTGTCAGTTGTTCTGCTTTAATCCTTTTGAACACAGTATTATTTTGGGGAGCAAACTAAAGCCTTCACCCTATCACCTGTAGTTATCTTGCCATCTTCATCCACCAGTGGGCTTACCCCTTTCTTTTTCATCCTTTTTCTTCCTTCCTTTTGAGTTAAAGGAACCATTTTTATGTTTTTAGCTTTCCTGCAAGCTAAGGTGCCTTTTGCACTTTATCTTTCTACTTTTGTTTTTGCAGATATTAGCTGATTGCTTCTCCAACTTGCTGACAATTATATCCATTTTCTATTTCCTATACATATCCTTTTTAACTTAGCTTGGGTGAAAGCCCACAAAACTGTCCAATTCTTTGCTCAGTAGAATGGTATGCAATTATATTTCTAGTGTCTTATTTTAATTATTGAACAAATTTATATGGCCACCAATCTAGCTAATGGGACTCTGGCTGGCAAACAGAGGTAAAACGCTACACACAATTAAAATCAATTTAAAAAAACAAATTGAGGCCCCTGTAAAAATCACGCTACCCACATAGCAAACACACATGCTGGGCTCCCATAACATCATGTCCCCAGTGCCTTGGGGAAAACCCAGTCTTCGTGGTTTTCTGGAAGGCCAGCAAGATCAGGGACATCCAAATCTCCAAGAGGAAGCAGTTTCATAAGGCAGGCACCATGCTTCCCATGTCCTATGAAGTAACACTGCTTCAGTTCAACACTGCTTCAGTTGAAAGCTTCCTATGCATCCACAGTGGTTTCCTAAGATGACCATGTTTTGCTCACTAGAATGGTTCGCAGTTGTCTTTTCAGTATCTTATTGTTCAGAGCTTCCCAACCATCCTGCATTTCTTTGTCCTGAAGATACCTATCCATAGGAACCTGTTTAGTATTTCTCTAAGCTCAAGGAAATTAGCTGTCTTGATTCAGAGACTGAAATAAAATGTTGATTTTATTTGAAATTGGCAGTCCTGAAATCTTGTGTGCATATATTATGCTCCAATTTCTCTTTCTGTAGAACATTCTAACTACATTTTTTTTAATTAGAAGCCTAGTATCCAGTCAGAATGGCAGCATTCTTTAGTTGTGTGTCTTTAATTCTCTGATGCAAGCCAGTTTATTTCTGTTAAAGAGCAGAAGAAATTAATCTTCCATTAGCACAATTTTTTTTAAAATTGTGGTAGTATGTTCTGTAAAACAAAGCTGATTGATCAAGATGGGAAGAAAGGATAGATGCTTTCAACAACAGCCAATTTTTATGTAGCCCAAAGACTAGCTTGCAAATAATCTTACAACTTTCTATGTTTTTGTTTTAACAGGTCTGAGGATTCCACTGAATATTATATTTCTTTCACTTCTGAACATTCATACTCAACGGTTTGATCATCTTCACTCTAGGAGAAGTTTACTCTGAGATAATATTTGATATGTGCATGAATACATTTTTTAACTTCATAGTATAAGATTCTGGTTGGACCAAAAGCTGCGTTAAGTGCACATTTTGCATAACTCTGAGGAAAGAGAACCTTTCAAAATATTTTCTGATTCTTCACTCACTTTTTACATATGTGTGAAACATGTCAGCAACTGTTTGCAGCCAAGCTTCTTCCCAACATAATTTACTAGGACAAGTATGAAGTCTGACTGTTGGTTCATTGAAGGCATCAGTGTTGAAGAAAAAATATTGCTACATTGACATCAATTTCTTATTACAGGAACAGGAATTCACATAAAACTTCATTTCACACAGGAGGTAGATTTGAAAGAAAAATGCATTTCTTAACTACTAATAGTTCAAAATACAAATTAGTTTAAAAACAAATGGTTATGCATTTAATGGAAAATACCATAAGAATGAAATTCATGTATTTAAGAATTTGTTTACAGTCTAATACATTATAAAATGACATATAGCAAAACCCTTAGAAGGCCATGGATACTGTGTACACCTTATATTTTTAAATTAGATTTTTTTTGTGCTCTTACAAACAGTAACATTTTAATTGCAGGGTGAGTTATAATAAAGTTATACATTTTATTTATAGAAGCAATATTTTATAATGAGTATACTTAAAATTATTTTTATCTATTTGTTTGACTGTTCTTTGATTACTCTAAGGAACTTTTATTTAAGGAGAATACAAAATTGATTTTACTTCTAAGTTGTGAAAATTATAATGATTCCCTCCCCTCTCCATTTTCATTATTCCCATTCATTGTTAGAAATATATTTGAATTATGTAATATCCTATTTTATTGTAAATAATTTCCTTTTAACCCCAGGATAATGGTCTAAAGGAGACCAAACCTTCAGTATAGTGAATACTTAAAGGAATGTATCCCTAAACAGCATGACTAATAGCTGCAGGCAGCTCATTTTATAGTGTCAGAATACTAAACAGTATTTCTGCACCAAGGCTATTCTTGTCCTGTTGAAACTGTTTGATCAAAATCTCAATGCAGGAAAATCTTGAGTTTGGCCAGCTCCTTCTTTTAAAGTGTACTATGCTTGAAAAAAAGATAAGATCCTTTATCTTATGGAAAAAATCATGTTAAAATTATTTACTGTACTCATTTATTGTCCTGTTCCAAGGATATTCTATGAGCTTTGCATATTGGAAGGAATGCATATAGTAGTTCTACTTACCTTTTGGAACAAGCGGTTAACTGTCTTGCCCTTTCTTTTTACAAATAGTTGGAAATACCATAATACTTTTAAATATGTTATGCAACTTAACCCAACTCAGCTGGGTCTTACTTGCAATCCCCTTATCCATTAACGACAATTTTGAATATTTTAAAGTGATGCCTGCTATTCGATACTTGGCAGGTGTACTTTTTCAGATGCTTATTGCCTTATATAATCTGAAATGCTGTCCTCTAAAGGAAAGCTTAAAATAGTATGAGTTCCATTAACATAAGAGCACTGTTCAGTTTGGGAGAAAAATAGTATTGGTTATATTAGTATCAGATATTCATTTCATTGAAAAATTGAACATAATATGTTATTCATAGTTATAATCCCAGATAATGCAGGGTTCTGTGGCAATAATTCATAACTGCAAAATGTAACTGTTAATTTTTAGTAAAACCCATAAAGTCTGTACTGTGCTGATGGTTAGTCATGTCCACTATAAATATACCATGTTTGAATTTTTAGCCATGGCACAAGACATGAACTTCTGAAATTAAGGTGACATGTGGATCACGCAAAGCTTTGTGTAATCATTTGCAGCAGAAGTTTCAAGCAACACATTTCATTGGGCCTTTTACCAGACCTTCTATGCAAAGATACAAAAGTCTTTGCACTATTTTATGTCCACAGATTTTGAATTTATGGGAGAAATATATGAAGCTCTCAGGCTTTTATAGTTGAGACTTTTGCCTTGAAAACTGCATGAATGTTTTTAAAAAATATAATAGTTTAATTATTGCCAGAATATGAAAATGGCATTGAGTCTATAAAAATGGCTTGTTTGTGGCAACATATCCACTGGCTGCTGTACAATAGTTGATCTCATGTCTAGAGTTTTCCCTTTAGAGTACAAATGTTCATAATCTGTTAGGATGAGAAGATTGTTTCATTTGTCAGTTAAGAGTACAGTAGCAGTATTTTATTGATCAACACCTATGTGCTGTTGTCATAGTCAGGTTTTTGGACCAGAAGTAATTCTTAAGTTTATTGCTTAAAGCCCATTGTATATAAAAGTTGTGGGAGGCTAAGAAGTCATAGTGCTCAAGTCTGCACATTTCTCACAATAAACTTATAAAGTATGTAGGCATTTAAGAAAAGATCTGAGTGAAGGTTGTTTGAAAAATGAATTCCAGTATTTTAATGCTGCACACTACCATGCAACTGTTTTTCGTACTGCAAATGAATGACAAATTTAAGTTAATTTTTTATCCATAACTCAGATTGTATATCAGTAAATTATCTGAGTATATTCCAAATGAAGCTGGAATTGGTAAGGAGCGGTAAATGCCAAGTGATAAGTAATATGATTTGGGAAATATACAATAGAGGCCTGAGCCGTTTTAATATTTCCACTTGAAAACATATTTAAGGTGAAGGGGAACAGTAGTACTCACAAAGTGGCTTTATCTCATATATAATGATTTAAAAAATTACGTTTGTATTAATTGCTTGGGGTTTTTTATGGTTATTTACACATTCAGTAATTTAGCATATATACCTTTGCTTCTAGTTTCAACCTTTTCCTTGCAGGATTTTTCAAAATAGCGCAGCTTATATCTTAAAAATTATAATCACAGAAACAAGTTTAATGGCACTAAATTGCATCTTGCAAGGATATAGGAAGCTTATGTATTTCACACTAAGGAGTCTTTGCTCTTGAGCTTTGTTTTAAGCAGCTACCGCTTTCACAGTATTAGTTCATTTTTGTAATAGTGCCCTGTGAAGAAGAGGAAACTTTCACTAATTGTCAACATTTTCTTTTATTTACACTGCCTTTAAAGAGTGAATTGTAACTTAAACCATATGGATTTATGAGCATAATTTATTTAAATTGTTATGCTTTATAATCCAGGTATTGAAGGTAGTCATAATGATCTCAAAAGATGTAGCAGAATGTGTCTAATGTTACAAAGGCATACAAGTGAAACTTTTTGCAGTAGTTGAAAGCACCTTATTTTCTATCAATAATGACACCAATCAAGCAACAACAATCTTCATAGAAACACGTATGGGAAGAAATACTTGGATTGAATGGAGGCTTCTCTGTCAATCTGATGATAATTGAAGCAAGCGAACTAACCCTTTGATATAGTCCCGGGCAGTCAGATTTTCACTGTATTTAGAGTCAAAACTATTCTTTGGTAGACCAAACTTTGGCAGAAAAATACACATTTTTCAGTTATCACATTAATAGCTGGAAAAATAACGCACTAGTTGCTTTTATCCTAAAAATGTAACTAATTTTATGTTTTGAATGAAAGAAACACATGTTAATTGCTAAAGAAAATCTTACATAATTCACCGATTGGAGCTATATGGACATTCCACAGGTAACTTTTGTAAAAAAAATTTCCTAATCTTTTGCACAAAATATGTGTTGTTTAAGACAATTCATGTGGGGTTCCTAGATAGTGCTTCAGAAACAGAAGCAAATAAAAGCCCATTTTTATTGGGCCCTTAAAAATCTATAATGGCTTATAAACGCCTTGTGCCAGAAATTTATTTTTCAGTTTTCACACTTTGAATACAAAAAAAATAGCCAAAGGCCTACTTCAGGAATTTCTTTGCCCTGGTCTTGTACCCAAGGTGAGAAGATAATGCACTTTCCAATGCTTAAGTGTAGAGGAAATAGACATAGCAGCAAACTGGATCTACCTTCTTCAACCAAAGAGATGAAATAAATCTGAGTTTGGCCTGAGTTTGCTTCATACTGAGACTCAGCAAGGGCAATCATCATTGGGCAACTATATTGTTGCAACTGGCAATAAAGCATCTCCAATATACTTCACCATATACATTTTTGAAGAAATAATATGCCAAGGTCTACTTGGGCCATAGTGCACTAATTTATAATTTAGTATATAATTTGCTGCATTGTGCTTAGTATGATGTGGCTGCAATGAGATTTCTTATTAGCTATAGTTCATTTGATATTCTATCGGATAGCTCATTTGATCTAGACCAATTTCAGGACCTTGGCCAAAATTGCTTAATGTTTGTATCATAATGTTCTCCCATTTTGACATAGGATATACACTAAGACTAGAAGCACTAAAAAATTAAAAGCACTAAAACTAGACTTGGGTTTTTTAGAACGAAAACATCAGAAAACACTGGGTTTTGCCTGGAAACTGAGGCCATCATCTTCCAAAAAGAGAACATCCTCAAGCCACCTTTAATGTATAGTATATCTTATTTTATTGAAATAAATTAACATTAAATTGTCATTTGTGAATTTAGCAGTCTCTGATAAGCCAAGTTTAGCTAGTCATAGCTAACTATTCAATTTAGTTATTAAAATAAGTTACTATTAAAATTGGTTACTAAATCTCACTCACACTTTATTATTGTGTCCAAATTGGTACACAGGCTGTAGCTTATGCCTGGACATAGTATCAAAGTCATGGGTTGGAAGACAGAGGTTGCTACAATTATCATGAATTTAGCAGTCTCTGATAAGCCAAGTTTAGCTAGTCATAGCTAACTATTCAATTTAGTTATTAAAATAAGTTACTATTAAAATTGGTTACTAAATCTCTCTCACACTTTATTATTGTGTCCAAATTGGTACACAGGCTGTAGCTTATGCCTGGACATAGTATCAAAGTCATGGGTTGGAAGACAGAGGTTGCTACAATTATCATTTGGTCACTGCCCCAAGCAGATCCACTTTCATACCCACTTTCATTTCTGTAGGTCAGTATGCTAGCAGATAAAAACAGTGATTGGATACTAAGCTCATTTAAAATAGCTCAGTATAATCCCTGTTTAAGAGGCAGCCTGACCTTGTCTTGGATATCGTCTATAGGCATTAAAGCATTGCCTGACCAGGCTGTTATTTGAGCAGTTTAGTAACTTCACAGATCATGCCCTATGGTGGACAGTACTTTACTGAGAGGGAACATGCACTTCCTAAATTTGGGTTTTTCGTCTGATGCCTCTATTTTTTGTTGCCCTGCTATATCCCTGCTGTCATTTGGGGACTATATAACCCAAAGAGGAGAGTGATAATGAAATCTGGGACTGAACTGCGCTATATTGATGCAAACTTTCACATGAATTCAGAATCATGAAAGCAAACCCTTTTATGGATGTGCCCTTAAACTCTTCATTTCCCACTGTAAAACTATGGTAGAGAGATGTGTAGCTTTGTGTTTATAGGGTATTGCTCATCTATTTGTATATTTCTCATATCAACTGCAAATTTTAATACCTATGATTTTATTCTGTAACATTTATAAATTGCCTCATACCACTTTAGAAGCAAAAGATTTTTCCCCCATTCTAATTTCTTGTCTCCCCCTCCTTTCCTTCCTTTTTTAGTAAAGATATTTATCTTATATATATGTTATCATTTTCCATACTGAGTCAAGTGTGCACAAATGCTTCCCCCCAACCTCACCTCCCATTAGTCTGTTTTAGGTTACAGATGTGTGTGTCATGCTCTCAATACAGCTGAAAAGATACTAAATTAGACAGCTAAGATAAGGTCCGTATCCCTAAAGTGCTGGGTTTGAGTGTTAAAAAAACACATGGAATATTGCAAAACTTTTGCAGAAGGAGCAATCAAAACATGTTGTTTGCATTCAGTCATGCTTTAGGAATTATCACCGTGTTTGTTCTTGAAAGTAAACCAAAACAGGACATTTTGAGATCAAGGATTGGATCTTTCCAGTTTTTGTTTTTGTTTTTAAGGTAAAGTTAGCCACAGGGATCACCAGATAGAATCTTCTGATAAATTTCTCCTTATCCTATCATTCTATTTTCCTGATTTAAACTACCCTCCTGCTATATTTTCTTCCAGCAAAAGTAGTGTAGATTTCTGTATGGTTTTTTTTCCCCCCCTCTAGGCAAACAGCAGATGGGTGAGTGGTTATTGAGCATGGGGAATTTATTCTTTATCCAATGTCTTCTGCATCCTTTGCTTGTACCTAATTAAAAATACCACTGATATTAGAATGGGTTTCCCAATGACACATTTTACTTGGTTCTTATATTCCTGTTGTTCTGTCTAATTACCATTTGTTTTGAGTTGCCAATATCACAGCTATGTTAATATTTTACTGAAATGCAAAAGACTGCCAACGAAGTTGCATAGGTAAGTAGTAGTAAATATTCATGGTACATTTCATTTTTAAGCTAAAAATAAAAATGAAATTGATCAACTGTTCATTGATTTAATCATAGAGTAAAATTTAAATTAGCACCTTGCTACACTTTTAACACAGCTGTATTTAATGGACACTATAAATGGACATTTCTAAAAAAGCATACTCCTGCAAACTTTTGCAATACCTTGTTCTAAAGTATTAAGCAAGATGCATAAACAAAATGAGCATTCTTAGCAATATTTTGAAATTTTTAAAAGTTTAAACTATTTCTTTTTGCTTGTTTTTCTTTTAGTGCAGTCTTTCAGTAATTTTATTGTATTGCTTTGTACTTCATGTTTTCTACTATTATGGCTTCAAAATTCAAACCTGTACCAAAAGTCCTGAATGACTGTCTCTTAAACATGCAATGTAACAACATACTTCAAGTTTTTGGTGCTTAAAATTTGCTCCTTTGTTTCCTTAAATAAAAGATATTTATTTGAATATAGTTTCTGTCATGGATAGACACTGTCACATTGCTGGGGGGCGGGTGATTCAGATCCCCTTTTGCAGTTCTTACTCTGTTGGCGGTTCACACAACATTTTAAACCAAAATCAATTGAGTTAGGTTATAGCTTAGGACTTTTCCACCCTTCAGCCTTAAACTGCTCAGCTTCTGTACATAAACTCAGAGGAAATGAAGCCAGCTTAAGAAATCCCTTTCTAGATTCAATTCCTTTTTCCAGTTTGGCCCCAGTGACAGCCTGATGCTCTTTCTGGACTGTGTTTGCATTTACTGCAGACCTTGACTAATAGATTCCCTTTCTTTATCCCTCCTGATCCCATGAAAACAGAAAACACACTTTTACCATTTTTCCTGTCACTACAGCCCAAACAGGAAAGTGGCAGAATTCATTTCAATTTCATTTAGTAAGAAACAGAAGAGAAGTCCATCACTTCACTGTTCTATTGTTCCACCCTCAGACTTGTAAAATCAAAGGAACAGATTCGCCATTTCATTATTTCATCAGTGAACTTGTAAAAAAAAAAAAAATGGCTGTGAAGACCAGCGACTGGAGGCATACTTGTCATAGCACCCAGTAACCCGTTGGTGTGGAGGCATTTGCCTACAATGAAATTGAGTGCAGTAGGTGAACTGGGCAGTATCGCTTGAGTGGCTCTACTCACAAAACACTCCTCCTGATACACAGCAGAAAAAGATGGGTGGAAGTTGTCTTGGTGGACTGGGGGCAGGTAGAGGACATGGTGGTATGTTCTTGCCCTTGAGAAATGGTCAGTGACCTATAGTCCTACTGGGCAAACTGGTCATGTGAACAGGTCTTCATGTAATATGTGGAACTAGCCACAGTCTAAAATACATTCTATTTGCTTTTGTGTAACAGTTTTAAAACCAAAGTTAAACCTGTATTAAAGTGGAACAAGTTTTTTGGGGGGGGGGAAATCCTCCATTTATAGTGGAAAAAGCAGCTTTTTATTGCTCCTTTCTTCCTTGAAAAATTTGCTCCAGTACAGGTGGTGATTGGGAGGCATCCCCTGGATTGTAGACTCTCTCGTAAGTGAAAGGAGGTCTTCTATTCATGCAACCAGCATGGACTTCCCAGAGGTGCCCTCATTATTGATCATTATTATCCATAGTTTACACATGAATCTCTTTCAAACAGGACCAATCAAATTGATGCTTTATTGTCTAGCTTCTGGCTTGCTTATTAACATTAAAATGCTCGTTAGACAACAAAAGCCACTGGATAGAGTGGAATTTGATTCTGAATAAGCCCACATTGTTGCAATCATGAAACTGGTGCCTATTAGCTTCACTTGGTGAATGTTGTGTCCTGGGAACAAGGAATTCTAGGTGAAAGGTTGGAAGAATGACATTATTGGAACATTCTGGAGTAGAGTTATGAGAAAGAGGCCCCAATAACCAACTTCCAGACAGGGATATACTTATAAAACCTTTTTATGTCAAAGTCATAATTTCACAACATGACACTCTAATTCAAAATCCAGTAGCACCTGAAGAATTAAGGTAAATGCTGCCATCCAGTGAACAGATTGTAATTCTTAAAAAGAGTTCAAGAAAGAAAAATGAATAAAGTACATTCTCCAGAACAGCAATTGTATTTCAAAATAAAAATTGTATTTTGTTGGGTTTTAAAAGAATTTTTAACAAGACTCCATAATTGTCATATAACAAGTTATACACAATGTGATTGTTCTTCTATGTAAATTCTTGTTTGCTTTTCTTAGTCTATGACAACCAAAAGTATTTTCTGGCATATATGCTAGTGCAGGAGACCCATTTAATTAAGAACATCTGAGTGTAATTGTTAGCATATAATTTCTAATACCCATCTAATGTAAATGAACATTAAAAGATTTTTTAATATAATTTATATGTGCACTTATATTTACCTTATCCCATATACATGTTAGATGACTTTTTGGGAATTCAGTGGTGCAGCCCTCTTAAGATTTTATTTTTACAAACAAAAGAACCCAAAGTCAAGCATCTAAATATACATGAGAAAAGAAATTCCCAAATATTGGTTTCCAATCAGTAATTTTAATTTCAATAGGAAAATATTTTAAATGTGCACATTTAAATTTTTTATGTACTGTATATACATATGTGTGTGTACATATACAAATAAGTTTTCTTGTACAACACATATACACAGCATTGAAATGGAAATACTTTGTAAACTGTTTTCCCACATGTAAATGTCCTTGTATTAAAAATTTTGATCTCATTAAAAATAATGTTACATTTTTTGCCAACAAATTTCTGCTCTAACTTGTTATAATTAGGAACACCCAGCAAGAACATACTTCATTCCTCTCAGAATTACACCAATTTTATACTTTGCTGAAGATGTTTCTGAGTGACACTCATCTAGCAAGAGAATGAGGTGCAAACTTCTTCAGGTAAATTAAAATCAGGTAATCACTATTGTCCTGACCAATAAGGTTACACATCATCAACACTTAGCTAATAGGTTTTTAAAAAATCACCATAGAAAGCTTTTACCTATGAATGCAATGAACAAATATTTTCCCAATAATAAATAAAATAAATGATAAAATACTCTAAAACATGGACAAAACAAATGATGTGTACAGTACATATAGTATAATACATCATAATTTAGTGTTTAATTAAGAGTAATCCTGATATTTCAGGAGACACCTGTTAAATTACAGATAAAGAAAATGGCATTTTATAAATTAAGCCAAATATTTATCCCATTTTAAATACAAATTAGAATGCTTGTATTATACAGTATATACATACAGTACACACATAAAAACCCGATTTATATTATCTAGTTTTGAATAGCAGTCCTTAAGTGGAAAAAAAATATACAGAGTTTATATTTAAGCTGGATTTTATATTTAACATCCAAATTAACTTGGTGTAAATAAAAAGGTCAGTGCATTGTTGTTTGATTCTTTTTTGTTAGATTTTTAAAATCTTTTCCAATATTAGACAATGTACAGCAAGACTGGCTCATTCCCATTCAGGAAACAGAGCTGTGACCCTTGACTTACTTTCCTTTTTTTTCTTTAAAATAAAAAATATATATATAAAGAAATACATATTTGGCAAAAATCTTTGTAAATTACATCAGTACAACTTAAAAAGAGGTTCATTGAGGATAACTGAATTCAGTTCTCGTTTTGAAGTTCAGAACATTGCCTGGCACGTTTTCTTAATAAAGGTGTTTCATGAAGATTCAGCAGGAAAAAAAAAATCCACTTTTATTCTCTATGCTAATACAATGCTTTTTTTCCCTTCAATTGCCTGAGCAAGGTCAATGCCCTAGCAATCACTATATTTCCACAGTTTGAGGATTCTTGCTAAATAAATTACTAAAACACATTTTGATAAGAAAAGTTAAGTCCATGTGATATTCAGTAAGCATGGACTGAACCTTATTAGAACATAGCAAATTTTAAAATACCTTTCAGGGACTTGCTTGTCTTCATAGATAGGCTTCAAAATGCATAACAAAATGAAATACAGAATTTCTACATACATGAACTCCCAATAGGAAAAAAGTAAACCATACACTAGACAATATTATAGAACACCAGAGTGAACATTGTAAATAAAGACAGTATCTTCCAGTATAAAAAAGGGAAGAACTCTATACAAGCAATAATTCATTAGGTCTGAATTAAAGATGCAACTCTCTCTCACTCCTGGCAAGAATTAATTGGTAGTGCACTGTTTCTCAACAGTACAAAATATCCTGAGAAATTATTCAGATTACAACAAAAGAGAGGGCTGTCATCACAAAGTTCTTGCACAAAACACAGCATACAGGTGCCTTAATCAACAAAGAAAATAAAACTGATCACCTACATTGTGTGGAACACTAAGAGGGATGTCATTTGGGGCACTTATTATTTCACTGGCTAATAATTAGAAAAGGATTGCATTCAATTACTGTTAATACCCTCGAGTTATCTATGGCCAATTATATACATGGAGGTAATTTGTACTTCAAGTTATTTTTTTTCAACTAGCTACAAGCTGAATTCTGAAATTTTACACTGAAATACTATATATTGTTGAAAATTTAAAACAGGCCCTTCTGAAGGAGCATTTTTCTAATTTTGTGCAACTTTGATGCAGATCCCAACAAAGTCCTGTATGAAGAGAGACAGTGCATCTTTAAGAAGTTTGGCACTGAGATCCCATGTTCTTTAGCTGCATTCTATTAACTTGGCCAGATTATCTCGAAGTTCTGTCAGTTCAAAAATTTTGCCATCAAGAATTTCTAAAAGTGTTTTCAAGTTATTGCGAAAAACTTCTTGTTCATTCTGACTTTTCTCCAAACGCTGTTCAAGATCAGATAGTTGGCCTTCTAGATCTTTATTTCGAACTTCCACTTCCTTAAAAAAAATGCAACAGGCACAGTAAATAAACTATTAATTTTTAAATTCTATTCTTAATGTTAATATTCTTACACAGAAATTATCCTTGTGTAAGGCATGCTACAGTGTGGGCCCAGCACAGAACCTTTCCTGCAGTGTAATAATCATAATACTGTCTGTATCTGTGTACAGATAGGCAAGTTCTAGAGCAGAAGACTGTTTTTGGACTGAGGACCATGTTCAGTCGTCTTGTAACATTTTAAAAAATGAGTGTGGCAAGGAAAGGGCAATGAGGCAAAAAGGAATGGGCAAGGCCAGAGCAAACAGTAAAATATAATGAAATAAATTATGCACGTAAACATTTTACCTCTGGCAGTGGCCATCTGGTTACTTCCAAGAGATTCAAAACTAAGGCACAAAAGCCTTAAGAACTCATATTTTTGTCAATATTGTTTTTTTTAACTGAAGATGATGCATATGTATGTGGGTGTGTTTGTGTCTGTGTGGATGTGTTTACTATTTGTATCTGATACACACAAACATATGTGCACACAAACAGAAAATCACCCAATTATTTAATTCTTTGATTGATTCCATTCCAAAAATCAACTAAGTACTTAGTGTCCTGGTTAATAATCATTTTTAGAAAGATTTCTACTTAACTTTGGTGACAAATTACACTACCACCAAATCTGGCTACCAGCAAAGGACAAGGGAACCCTGGTGCCTGCACTAGTGGCAGGGAGTCCATATACAGTTGATGGACGATCTCATTACTGAGGAGCAAGGCTCATATTCCCATAACTATTGGGATGAAGCACCATGCCTGTTATATCAGGGTCAGCAGGGATTGAAGGGGACCTATCTTTAAAATGATCTTTAAAATTGATCATTTCTGATTCAGTTAGAAAGGGAATATGGGCTAAATGTGTGCGAGCTGCTTCCTCAACAAGATTTAGCACATCCTATTTTTTTAATAAGTTAGCAAATATATATTGTAATTAGTCACCTCTAATTGATTTTCAAAACAAGTATAGTTCTGCAAAACCTTTCTTCTCACATCTATGTTCAATACGTTCTTCAAGACATAGAGTAAACTGACCTATTAGCTCATGTTTAGATTTAGACATACACAGGCATACACATTTCCCATCACTGTTACTTACTTGTAACTTCTGAGTTAAAGAGTCCCTTTGTGCCTGAAGCTCTCTGGCATTATCAATTTCTTCTCTCAACTTTTCGATTTCCTAAAGGGAATAAAACAGCATATTACCCAAAGAGATAAAAATGCAGATACTAACTTTAGCCTTGGACAATTCAACCACATTGATTGATGGATACAGAGGGATACAGAGGGAATGGCTACTGAACCATTAAGACCTGGAGTCAGCTCTCCAGCCACCAACCACAGCAGTCATTTATATACAGTTTACAGCAGGGAAGGTCCCTAAGACAATAGGAGATTGCAACTGAATATATATGAATACCTATGTATCACACTATTCCCTTTCAGAGTGAGCAACAAGAGGAGTAAAAAACAGTAAACCAAAGAAATTAAAGCATGTGATAAGAAAAAAAGAAAAAGAAATATATCTGAACCTAGTTAGCATCAGCCCTACGTACTATACCACTCTATTCCTTTTAATTCTTGCAAACCATCCTTCTTTCTCTAACATTTCCATATGCCACTTCATACATAGTCTTTGTTCTTTAAAATTCTAGACCTCATCAACTCAATCCTGTCACAATTTTCTTAGTCTTTTGCTTCTTCTCAACCTGTTCACTCTTCAAAGTATATATTTTCTAATGTACAATCTTCATTTTTTTCTAAATGACCACATTACTTCAATATACTTTTTTTAAATTGATAGTTTGCCATTGTATTAAATGGATGTTCATTTATTACCCATTCATTTCTACCACAATCAGCTTACTCTTAAGTTTCTCCTAACATATTCTACTCTCACCTTCACATAAGAAGTGGGTAGAAGCACCTTCTTACACACAGCCATTTTCACTTTTCTTGACATAAATTCATTCCTTGCAAGAGACACATACACTCATTACTTTTCTATTAGCATTTTATGTCTTAAAATTTCTCCATCCTTTTTTCCCATCTGTGATTTGTAACAAATGTAGATAGATTGTACAATTCAAAGAATATGGATCTAAAAATTAATTTACTAAAGACCAAGGTTGATTTGCTGATAGGGAAAATAGTGTGAAATGATTCATTATATAAAAATGGTGAAAAACTTGCATAGGTAGATGAATGTGTGGCTGGATGAATGAGTAGGATTCAATTGTCAATTTTCAATGCATTTTGCCAAAGACAGATACAGTGTCAGCTCTCCAAGGTAGATCAGACTAGGAAACCAAAGTTATGAATGCTAATACTGCTTTTATTATAAAGAAAAGTAACAGAATCTTGCAAGTCTGAATACGCTTCCCCCCCTCCCTCTTTTTATCTTTGTGAGAACTAGGGAGGGTCCTATCTGAGATGCTTTCTCAAATTACATTTCTGCCCTGGACTCAGATTTCTTTATCTGCCTGTTGTCTTGGTTGCAACTCTTCCTCCTGTTCTTCAGGGTTATTCCTTCTGCCCATTACAAGAACAAGGAAGTAATTTCATACTACTAGAAAATGGAGCAATATCTATTTAATAGTACAAAAGCAAAAGAAGATGACTGAGCAAAAGAAGCAAAAGACTAAGAACTATAATTCAAATTATACAACTCTGAATGACAGAGAAAGGTCTAAATAAGGGGTACAAAAACTACAGCCCATTGCCAGTTATAGTCCCCAGAATCCTTCTAGCTATCTCCAGAACAGTCCAGAGCAGTGGAGGTTCTAAACTTTTGCTTTTTTTATATTTGTGTGTTGGGAAGGCTTTTAATGAATGAAATGGCTTACGGCAACTGTTTTAACCCTTAAAAAACTCAAAATTTTCCCAAACCTCATATCCTGGCCCCAGCCACTTCTGGAGTAAGATTCTAAACGTGGCACACAAAGCCTGGTGCAGCCCTGAATGACATGGCATATTCCTAGTATAAAGAATGGCAGAAAAATTTTCTTCAGTTGTGGTAGATAATATGTTTTGCAGAATGGCTAGCAAAACTTTAAGAGCTCTTTCCTAATGCAATATTGTTAAGCAAAGTTTAAAATGAATGACAGACATAGGAGACCTGTGTGAATGACTACCAGCTAGTTCAAACACTGACAAAAAGACTTCTGAAGACATAAACAAAAAGGTTTCAAAAAATTAAAGGGGATTTCATAAAAGGACCAAACATCACATCCACAACACTTTGAAGTGCAATAAAAACCTTCCGGCTAAGTAGCTAGAAACTCCCCTAAAAACATTTTATTTCAGTGCTATCTCTATCTTGAAACATATGAAACATATGGTGCCAATTACTGATATAGAAAATATAATACACTGCCAAGACTCCAGGAGTGATATAAAAAGGCAATCCCAACCCATTATTTATTCTTTGGGGAAGTGAGCAGGCTTTGCTAGAAGCAGCAAAGTTCTTCTTTGAACTTCCTGCCAATGCATGTCCTCAGAGTATAGAGGTCATTCCACACATCACAGTCTCAAGAGAGAATACCTTGAATCCTAATAAAGCAGCTTTTCAGGCATTTAAAACTAGTATATAAAAGCCATTTAAGAAATTAGTTACCATCGGTTTGCACGCTCCCATAGTTCTAAGGAGAATATGTTGATTCTACTGCATTTGGAAATAAAGGTATTCTAGTGGAACAGTGTAAGGCATCGTAAGTTGTTTAAAGCCAAGTATTTAGCCACAGAGCACTGTGATCAAACAGTTTAGGACTACATGCTCAGACATGCCTGAAAGCTCTACTTGTTAGACTTTCCAACAAACAAAACTGAAAGCTTCTGCTGTTCTGTTCCTGTGTATGAAGCCACT